GAGAGGACAGTGATGAAGACTTCAAGAGGCTGTGGACTGTCGTCTGTCGTGTGGATATGGTGAGCTCAGCCAAGAAATTGCGGTGGCTCAGGGCAGAGGCTGAGATGAGAAAAGGGCGAGGGATAGCTGAGAGGCAAAGAAGCCTCCCAGGTAAGGGCTGTGCCCTGTGACCCAGTGTGTTAAGTCACACTTTCAGACTGAGCAGCTTCAAACGGCACAAACGCATTCTCTCACTGTGGGGGCAGAGGAACAGAAGTCCCACATAGTGTGGTTCAACCAGGCCCTGGTCTCAGGGTCTCATGAGGCTGGAAACTGAGGCACAGGGCAGTCTGGGCTCCTTTGTGAAGTGCTGAGGATGAATCTCCTCCAAACTCTCTCAGGTTGTCATTCAATAGCGTTTCTTGTAGCAGTTGCAGAAAGCCCACTTCTCTGCTTGTTGTCCACCCTTTGGGCACTCTTTGCTCCCCAAGGAATGTACCCAGGGTCCCTTCTTATACCTTCCATGTGGTGCACCCAGCAATGGTGGGTCACCCCCTCTAGGACTTCAAATCCACTGATGTCCTCTTCTGACACATCCCTGACACTGGCCAACAGAGCTTTTTTGCTTTTCAGAGCTTCAAGTTTAGAATGGCCAATTGGATAACCTAAGAAATCTCCTTGCTTAATGTCCATAGCCTTAACTTCATCAGCACATTCCCTTTTGCCAAGAAAGGTATATAGCTGGGTGTCAGTGGCTCATGCCTGTAATCCCAGCGACTCAGGAGGCAGTGATCAGGAGGATCGAGGTTCAAGGCCAGCCTGGGAAAAGTTTTCAAGACCCTCTCTTGAAAATACCCAACACAAAAAGGGCTTGGGTTGTGGCTCAAGTGTAAGAGTGCCTGCCTAGCAAGCATGAGGCCTGATTTCAAAGCCTACTACCAAAGGGGGAAAAAAAAAGAAAAGAAAGGTAGCATATTCACAGGATCCAGGGATTGGTGTGTGGACCCCTTTGGAGTCATTATAAGATATAACTTGCACCTGTGGTAAGGATATCTTGGTGGATGTGCCCAAAGACAGTGAAGGAGAAAGGCACTCCCCTTGCTGGAGCAAGGCTACCTGTACTTGCCAGGGTTTCATATGGATCTCTTCCCTAAAGTGAAGGCCTCATCAAGATCCTTCCTGCCAGGCCCGTGCTGTGTCTCACACCTGTGAATCCCTACTACTCAGAGGCAGAGATTGGGAGGATTAAGGCTCAAGGCCAACCTGAGCAAAAAGTTAGTGAGACCCCATCTCAACTAATAGCTGGGTGTGGTGATCTATACCTGTCATCACAGCTACGCAGGAGGCTTAACTAGGAGAATTACAGTCCGGTTTGGCCTGGGCAAAAATGCACGACCCTATCCAAAAAAAAAAAAGGCATAATAACTACAGTAAAAATGGCTCAACTGGTAGATTGCCTGCCTAGCAATCCCAAGGCTCTGAGTTCAAATCCCAGTACCACCAAGAAAAAAAAGCAAAAAAAAAAAAATTCCTCTCACTAGGTCAAATCCCAGTGTGATTCTGGGATGCCCTGGTTCTGTTAGGGAAGAAAGGTATCATCAAAGAAAATGCAGGGCTGGGCACCAGTGGCTCACATCTGTAATCCTAGCTACTCAGGAGACAGAGATCAGGAGCATCACAGTTCGAAGCCAGTCTGGGCAAATAGTTGGAGAGACCTTATTTCAAAAAAGCCCGTCAAAAAAAGGGACTGGTGGAGTGGCTCAAGGTGTAGGCCCTGAGTTCAAACCCCAGTACTGCAAAAAAGAGAAAAAAAAAAAAGGGAAGAAGAAGATGCAGGACTTGACTGTTGTACTCCATCACAAACCTGGAGAACTGCTGGATGTGTCTTTAGGATGTGTCTTTAGGATGCAGAA